ATCATAACCAGATGCATTGTCTGTTTGTTTACAAAGTGGGTGAGGTGGCCAGGCTGGCTTCCCTACACTACCCTACCTACCACACCACTTTCTACAAATAAATACTTTTCACCTTTCACCCTACATTAAGACTACATATATTTTAAGGTAAGTAATGAGTGTACTGTATATGAATTTGATCACTCTATGGAGCTTTAGGCATCGTCATAATATATTATGTGTGGGTGGAGTGGCCAGGAGGGCTACCACACCTAACTTCTTACAGTAAATACTACTCACCTTTTGCCCTACATTAAGACTACAAATATTCTGAGGTAAATAATGAGTGTACTGTGTGTGTATTTTACTTTTTCTTGTTTTTTAATGCCTAGTTCTATTACTAACATAATATATGTTAGTGTAAACTTGTTATCTGGCATTTATATGCATTTATAAGTGGAAAACAATGGCATTCTGCTTTCTGGCAGTAGCCTGGAACCTAACCTGCTGTATAAGTGGGACCCTACTGTACGTGCAGGGCTCATGACCAGCATACAGAGATCAGGTATGAGGGTGCCTTCACCAAATTCAAGTTCAATAACAAAAAACATACAGTGGGATCAAATCAACCATATCCTTGATGAAACAAGCTGGGAAGATAACCTAAACAAAACAGATATGAACCTATGCCTAGAAAGAATCAACTCTGTGGCACTTAAGGTATGCTCAAGGCACATTTCTTTAAGAAAAAAAGAAGAGAAGATGTAAACTAGAAATAGAGAAATGCTCCCTATACAAGCGAAAAATCACAAAGCTGTTGAAAGGGTCCAGTATATCTGATATACAAAAGGAGGCATTGGTCAGAGAAATAGCAAATATTGAACTTACACTTAAGGAATAATACAGGAGACAAGAAACACAGGAAGATCTTAAAGCCATAAATGAAATTTAAAAAAAAAAAAATGCTTCTTTTCTTATGCCAAATCTATGGCAAAAACCACATCCAGTACTGGACCCCTGCTTAAATGAGATGGGACTTACACAGATGACAGCAAAGAATGAATACACAAGTCCCGATATGACTCAGCATTTAGTGAACTGTTAGTAATACACCTCTGCAAAAACAGTGATTATGTGTGAGTGAGGTGAAAGTGTTGAATGATGATGAAAATTGTTTTCTTTTTGGGGATTTTCTTTTTGGGTCACCCTGCCTCGGTGGGAGACGGCCAACTTGTTAAAAAAAAAATATATTATATATACATATACATATATACGTATATGCAATACGATCACAGTAAACATATATATATATATATATATATATATATATATATATATATATATATATATATATATATATATATATATACAGGAGGGCCCCACTTATACGGCGGGTTAGGTTCCAGGCTACCGCCGTAAAGCGGAAACCGCCGTAAAGTGGAACACCCTTTTTTTCCACTTACAAATGCATACAAACACTAGATAACAAGTTCACACTAACATATATTATGTTAGCAATAGAACCAGGCATCAAAAAACAATAAAAAAGTACAATACACACATAGTGCACTCATTACTTACCTTAAAATATTTATAGTCTTAATCTAGGGTGAGACAAGTAGTATTTATTGTAAGAAATCAAGTGTGGTATGTATGGTAGTCAGCCAGGCTACCATACCAGGCCAACCCACCCACACATACTATTCTATGATATTTAAGCATCCCAGAGCGATAAAATGTATATACAGTTCACTCATTACTTACCTTAAAATATAGGGTGAGATGAGTAGTATTTATTGTAAAAAATCAAGTGTGGTATGTATGGTAGTCAGCCAGGCTACCATACCAGAGAGAAAGAATGAGTGCATGAGAGAGGACAGGCGCAGAGTTATGTAAACAAACCAGGCGAAGGTAAGTTTTGTAAACAGTGTACACGTCTGGTTTGTGTACAAGTTACATTGTGTACAGGTTGTCTCTACATTGATACGGTAGAATAAATAAAGAACACTCCCATTCTCATGTAACATCATTTTGAGAAGAAATGATGCTCTGAGTGAAGGCAATGGAAGTAAGTCACTCTGATTTTTTGGGTTATCCTAGGTTCTCTACACATATGTTATGTATTTATGTTATGTATCGTGTTTATTATATAATTTTGAAAACAATATCACGGATGGATTAATGAAAATGTGTATATTAACCTAATATACAACATTTAATGATACACCGAGCTCAGACAGCGTAAACAAACAAACTGAACAGGTTGTGGACGATCACTCGGTCAGGCGAAATAGACAGTATTAATACGTGTCCAGTTTTAGTTCATTCATGTACATTTGTAAGAGTTTGTGAAACTTTTACCTTATAATATTTTTATTATTATTATAATAATTAAATCATGAAACAAATACTCTTACACTGTGTACAAGTTAGTACAGAATTATAGCTATAAAGTGAAGGCATACGAAAGGAATATTTTTCTACAGCTATCCTTAGTAACAGGTGACGGGCTAGAGAAAACGTAATTCTTCCGACACTTCTACAAACCGTTTGGTAAACATCTCATATATATTTGTATAAATTTTTATACTGTGGGTGCATGTATCATGTTTGTGTGTTACATAATGTGTTTCTTATATAATTTTGAAAAAAATATCATAGATAGATTAAGGGAAATGTCTATATTAACGTAATATGCGACATTAATGCGCCCAAGAGATTATTATTATTACTATTATTATATTATTATTATTATTATTATTATTATTATTATTATTGCATCAAGAGTAGAGAGACTCTTAGTGATTTTAATGTGTACCTACATGCCAGCACAGTGTGTAAGTTCATTTAGGTACAGGTGTACACAAGTTTAATTATCAAGTACAATACATATAAAATATACAATAACTTTAAAACACTTGAAATTTTGGAAAGTTTCCAGACATAATAAGGAGATGTGCTCAGGGAGAATGTAAACAAACTCGGTGGGCCGCTGTGACCGTATTAGAAAGACAGGTGGGGGGAGCCGTATAGCGAGTTTTGGTCATAATTTGAAATGTCCATATTAGCGGAATGCCGTAAAGTGAAACGCCGTAAAGCGGGGCCCTCCTGTATGTATATATATATGTATGTATATATATATATATATATATATATATATATATATATATATATATATATATATATATATATATATATATATATATATATATATATATATATATATATATATATAAATATATTTTTTGTTTTTCAACAAGTCGGTCGTCTCCCACCGAGGCAGGGTGACCCAAAAAAGAAAGAAAATCCCCAAAAAGAGAATACTTTCATCATCATTCAACACTTTCACCATACTCACACATTATCACTGCTTTTGCAGAGGTGCTCAGAATACAACAGTTTAGAAGCATATATGTATAAAGATACACAACATATCCCTCCAAACTGCCAATATCCCAAACCCCTCTTTTAAAGTGCAGGCACTGTACTTCCCATTTCCAGGACTCAAGTCTGACTATATGAAAATAACTGGTTCCCTGAATCCCTTCACTAAATATTACCCTGCTCACACTCCAACAATGCAAAATTAATAAGATAAACTATTTAACTTTTAATTTTTAGCACATTGGCCATCTCCTACCAAGGTAGGATGACCCAAAAATGAAGAAACACACTCACCGACCTGCCAGAGGTGTGCTGACATCACAGGTCACACAACCTCCCAAACTGCAACATCCCTACCCCTCTTTCACAATGTAGGCACTGTACGTACATCCCACCTCCAGGATTCAAGTCCAGCTAACCGGTAACAATATAATTATTAGAGGAGATTTTTATTGCATTCTGAAGCAGGCTTGCAGCTCCTAAAACAATTATCCACATGAAGTTCACAGCTTTAGACTTAAGTGAATATGTCAACAATGAGCTTCAGGTGCTTTATGGTGCTGTAGTCTTCAACGGATGAATATTTTATAAGTACCTTTACAGCCAAATCAATACAGGAGGACCCCACTTCACAGCACTTGCTTTACAGTGTTTTGTTAATACAGTGATTGTCAATTACACTCATTCTTCATTTATTCAGGCTACCTACAATAAATACATTTATCACTCACTATATGCTAAGGATGAAAATATTTTATGGTAAGTAGTTTGTGTACTGTATATGCATTTTTTAGGCCTATATTGCTCACTTGATATATGATGGTGTAAATATGTTATCAGGATTTTTATATGCATTCAAAAGTGAAAAAAAGGTTTTGTTTCACTTCACAGTAATATTCACTGCTGTATATGTGGGGCCCTCCTAGAATAAGGTCCTGTACAAGCAGTGTAACTTATGACAACAGCCCTCCTCCCTAAGCTAATTGCAGAAAAGGAAGCAGATGATCCTACACATCCTCTTCCTCCAAGCAGCTTAACACCACACTTCTCCTCTAATCATCAGAAGGATGACTAGAAGAGAGATTAAGGTTAAGTTATGCTGTTCATTCCTTGTATACACACCAGTGGTTCATATATGATACTTTCATAAAAATGTCATTTATTATAAACAGTAATGTAATTCTTTTAATACGAAACTAGGGAAAAATGTTCCAATAAATATGGTTTAACTGAAGACTTGGTTGAAAGCATCAGTCATTAAAAGTGTGGGATGCCTGCATATATAGACAAAATATTTCAAGATAAAATGTAAAAAACGGCAAAGCAATCGACAACAATCAAACTACAAAAATAAACACTAATTTTACTATGCTGCACCTAAGCATGGAAGCAACTAACTTTAACTTAATTGGCAGATGCAAATGGCACATTCCAAAAACAAATTATTTATCAGGTATATAGCTTAAGACTTGAACAATAAAGACTGAAGTATTAAATACGTAATAAGATTATAAACCTTAGACTTTGCTTATCAAGTAAAAAGCTTTTTCCTGAGAGATAATTAATGTTCAGAATATGACCATAAATGAAAAAAACAGCTAATCAGAAGAGACATTCCTGCAGCTACCAATCATTACCTGCCCCCCTTCTTGCTGTTCGTCATCAACGCACCATCACCATCAACATAGGCAGGTCAGGGAAGAAATATAAGCTATTATATAAGATATAAAACCTGATTTATATGTACAATACTGTATTCAATTACTTAAAGATCCCTGTGAACACATATTGTATTATGTATTCATAAATAAAATACAGTAGAACCCCCGTATCCACGGATTCGTTAACTGCAGTTTCAGTTATCCATGGTTTACCGTGGCTCAAAAATAACCCTTAATTTTGCTTGATAATAGCCGCAAAGTGCAAAAGTAGTGATACTGGCAGTCCTTTAAAACCATCCAAGGTAGGTCTTGGAACATATCCCCTGCGGATACGGGAGGACTACTCTATGTAGATTCCTTAATCATGTTAGACTAGTAGAAACTAAATGTGTAAACAAACATTATGCTCCTTATTCAACTCTTTCCACTTATTTTTTTTTTTTTTGGGGGGGGGGGGGGTTGAAGTGAACCCTTCTCTGTAGATAGCTGCTCATATATCGTAATAAAAATTCGTAACTGGTATGAAACACTTTTATTTCACCTACATAGTATTATGAAAACAAATTATTACTGTATATATGTAATTATAACACTAAGTCTTATCAATTTCAACAATGTTAGCTATGCTATAATTATGATCTTAGTAGTCCACAACAGTCTGGAATTATTATTTTTATTGCATTCACCAAGAAAATGGTTATGAAACTATCCTTACTTAACTGTATATCATCCCTTATGTTCTTACCACTTGTGATACCTTTGCTACAGAATTAAAAATAATACAAGATATACAGCCATCCATCTGTATGAAGCATTATGTTAATGAAGTTATGACCAACTAAGCTGTATGACCCTTGTGGGTTTAGTGCTTAGTTTTGATTATACAGTGGTACATCGAGTTTCGAACAGCTCCCAACTCGAACAATTATGTAAGTGTTTTTTTTTTTTTTTTTTTTTAACAAGTTGGCCGTCTCCCACCGAGGCAGGGTGACCCGAAAAGAAAGAAAATCCCCAAAAAGAAAATACTTTCATCATCATTCAACACTTTCACCTCACTCACACATAATCACTGTTTTTGCAGAGGTGCCCAGAACACAACAGTTTAGAAGCATATACGTATAAAGATACACAACATATCCCTCCAAACTGCCAATATCCCAAATCCCTCCTTTAAAGTGCAGGCATTGTACTTCCCATTTCCAGTACTCAAGCCCAGCTATATAAAAATAACCGATTTCCCTGAATCCTTTCACTAAATATTACCCTGCTCACACTCCAACAGCTCGTCAGGTCCCAAATACCAAATATTTTTGGGGGCTGAAACGAACTAATCTAATTTACAGTATTCCTTATGGGAACAAATTCGTTTGGTATCGGAACTCGATCAGCCTTCTGGAATGAATTAAGTTCGTAACTCAAGGTACCACTGTAATAATAATAATATGACCAACTAAAGAGGTATGAATATAAAGAACTAGCAAGAAAAATTTGACTACAGATTGTTTGAAAAGTGTTACATAAAATTTTATATTTAAAGGTTAGAAATTTTTACTAGTGAACTAGGTACAGGTATATCCAATTTTATAGTGTAGAAACAACATGCAGATATTACCAAGGCATCTTGCAGAGGCAGGTAAAATAATGAACAAAATTAAATTGATAATGATAACCAAACAATTTGACACAAATAAAACAGAATTTTGCAAGCACGAATGAATGTTCACTTTTCTGGAGCGTGGAAAAGAATGTTATCCATTTTATGTTAATTTTAGAACACAATATGCAAAAATACTCAGAAACAGCAATTAAGCCAACTAATGTCTTCGAGACACTGCTGCATGTTTTGAATTGCTTGCAGTATAGGATATAATTAACTGAATATAAAGTATAAATTTATATAATGCATCCGAAAATAAATCAGTGGTAAGAGTTACTTTCAAAACAAATTTATACTAAAACTGCATGAATATAAGTTAGTTTACTAATGTACAGTACTTATTTGTGCAACAAATGATAATTCTAAGTACTTTTGTATTTATTAATTAATTATCACCATAGGAACAGATTTGTACTCTCTAAAAGCTAATGATACAGTCACATACCTGAATTGTTCTGTATCTGTGGCTAGCTCCTGCTCCATCATGAGGAAAACCTGTACAAGTTCTGTTATAATGACAGGCCAGAGAGAAGTTACTCCACGGGGTGAGAGCCTCAGCAGCAACACACGGAAGCACAGGAGCACTTGAGCCACCAGTGATGGGACAACCTGTCCTAAGCGAGTCACCTCTGCTAGACGTTCTTAAAAGCAAATAGGAAAGGCTGATGAATAATGTACTATCCCTCTATTACAGGCTCCCAGACATTTGGCCAACAGACACTTTGCCAACGGACATTTCACCGAAGGACATTCGCCCGAATGGACATTTCGCCAAACGGACATTTGGCTGAACCAGCATTTATTACAGCATGTTTTCCAAACATTATGAAGAAATAAAAATAACAAAGAAATTTAAAAGGCCACTAAATAACAAACCTAACATAATTATCCATTGGTCAAATGGCTGTTGACACAATGTCAAACACTAAAATTATAACAGATAAAAGTTGTGACCTGGAACTCTTTAATTTTTATGTGCAGTTGTAATTAAGATGACCTATCTGCCAGTGAAGAATTATACATGTGAAATGACACTTAAAGCAAAGATAAATGTTATAAGAAACTTTATTGAGCAGGGTAATACTTAGTGAAGGGATTCAGGGAAACCGGTTATTTTTATACAGCCGGACTTGAGTCCTGGAAATGGGAAGTACAGTGCCTGCACTTTAACCCTTTGAGGGTTTTGGTCGTACTAGTACGTTTTACGTGTAGGGGTTTTTGACCGGGCCGCGGGGGCGTTGACCCCCGGAACTCTCTCCAGGTAAACTCCAGGTACTCATAAATTCTAGCGGCCTCAAATCTAGTGGGAGAAAGCTGGTAGGCCTTCATATGAAAGAATGGGTCTATGTGGTCAGTGTGCACAGTCTAAAAAAAATCCTGCAGCACACAATGCATAATGAGAAAAAAAAAACTTTGACCATTTTTTTTTTAATAAATCAGCGACTTTGCAGTGTATTTTCGTATGGTATTTATTGTTGTATTCTAGTTTTCTTGGTCTCATTTTATAGAATGGAAGACATATTACAGAAATTGAGATGATTTTGACTGGTTTTACAATGAAAGGTGCCTTGAAATTGAGCTCAAAGTAGCAGAAATGTTCGATTTTTACCAAACTTCAAAAGTAAACAAATCGTGCCAAGCGTGCAATACACGTCAACTGGTGAGTCTAATATTCTTTTACAAGTGCACCAATAATATTTATACCACTTTTTACACTAATGCAGTAGTCTGCATAACAGTAAATCTTATATTTTTTGTGAGAATAAAAATTCAAAGTGGAAAGCAAAAGAATATAAGAGGGGCCTTGAGACGTGACTAATGACTAGAGGAAATGTCATTTTAGTGCCAGGAATGTCTTTCTTGTTTATTCTGGACCCTATTCGGATATTGCCATCTTTTGAAATTTGTGTGAAATTGGCAAAATTGCTAAATTCTGACCACTGTACTGGATAGTTGAATTAATAAATGGGTGGTTTCTTGCACCCATTCGATAGAAAAAATGGAGTTCTAGCGAAATATTCATGTTTTTTGTCGACTAGTACAGTGAAATTGGCCGAAAATGGGGCTCAAAGTGGGCAAAATCGCCGATGCGTAAACATCGCCGAGACCGCTAACTTTGCGAGAGCATAATTCCGTAAGTTTTCTATCAAATTTCAAACTTTTGGTGTCTTTATGATCGGGAAAAGATTCTCTATCTTTTCATAAGAGAAAATAATTTTTTTTTTTTAAATTTGGCCGACCCTGAGAACGAGTTTTGGAGAGGGCCTGTCGACCCTCAAAGGGTTAAAGGAGGGGTTTGGGATATTGGCAGTTTGGAGGGATATGTTGTGTATCTTTATAAGTATATGCTTCTAAACTGTTGTATTCTGAGCACCTCTGCAAAAACAGTGATTATGTGTGAGTGAGGTGAAAGTGTTGAATGATGATGAAAGCATTTTTTTTTTGGTGATTTTCTTTCTTTTTGTGTCACCTTGCCTTGTTAAAAAAAAAATAAAAAGAGAGAGAGAGAGAGAGAGAGAGAGAGAGAGTGTGAGAGTGAGAGAGTGTGAGAGAGTGTGAGAGTGTGTGTGAGTGTGAGTGTGAGTGTGTGTGTGTGTGTGTGTGTGTGTGTGTGTGTGTGTGTGTGTGTGTGTGTGTGTGTGTGTGTGTGTGTGTGTGTGTGTGTGTGTGTGTGTGTGTGTGTGTGTGTACTCACCTAGTTAAGGTTGCGGGGTTCGAGTCCGAGCTCCTGGCCCCGCCTCTTCACTGATCACTACTAAGTCACTCTCCCTGAACCGTGAGCTTTATCATACCTCTGTTTAAAGCTATGTATGGATCCTGCCTCCACTACATCGCTTCCCAAACTATTCCACTTACTGACTACTCTGTGGCTGAAGAAATACTTCCTAACATCCCTGTGATTCATCTGTGTCTTCAACTTCCAACTGTGTCCCCTTGTTACTGTGTCCAATCTCTGGAACATCCTGTCTTTGTCCACCTTGTCAATTCCTCTCAGTATTTTGTATGTTGTTATCATGTCCCCCCATCTCTCCTGTCCTCTAGTGTCGTCAGGTTGATTTCCCTTAACCTCTCCTCGTAGGACATACCTCTTAGCTCTGGGACTAGTCTTGTTGCAAACCTTTGCACTTTCTCTAGTTTCTTTACGTGCTTGGCTAGGTGTGGGTTCCAAACTGGTGCCGCATACTCCAATATGGGCCTAACGTACATGGTGTACAGGGTCATGAACGATTCCTTATTAAGATGTCGGAATGCTGTTCTGAGGTTTGCTAGGCGCCCATATGCTGCAGCAGTTATTTGGTTGATGTGTGCTTCAGGAGATGTGCCTGGTGTTATACTCACCCCAAGATCTTTTTCCTTGAGTGATGTTTGTAGTCTCTGGCCCCCTAGACTGTACTCTGTCTACGGTCTTCTTTGCCCTTCCCCAATCTTCATGACTTTGCACTTGGTGGGATTGAACTCCAGGAGCCAATTGCTGGACCAGGTCTGCAGCCTGTCCAGATCCCTTTGTAGTTCTGCCTGGTCTTCGATCGAGTGAATTCTTCTCATCAACTTCACGTCATCTGCAAACAGGGACACCTCAGAGTCTATTCTTCCGTCATGTCGTTCACAAATACCAGAAACAGCACTGGTCCTAGGACTGACCCCTGTGGGACCCCGCTGGTCACAGGTGCCCACTCTGACACCTTGCCACGTACCATGACTCGCTGCTGTCTTCCTGACAAGTATTCCCTGATCCACTGTAGTGCCTTCCCTGTTATCCCTGCTTGGTCCTCCAGTTTTTGCACCAATCTCTTGTGTGGAACTGTGTCAAACGCCTTCTTGTGTGTGTGTGTGTGTGTGTGTGTGTGTGTGTGTGTGTGTGTGTGTGTGTGTGTGTGTGTGTGTGTGTGTGTGTGTGTGTGTGTGTGTGTGTGGTGAGTGAGTGAGTGAGTGAGTGAGTGAGTGAGTGAGTGAGTGAGTGAGTGAGTGAGTGAGTGAGTGAGTGAGTGAGTGAGTGAGTGTAATGTCCAAAGAAAAAGAAACAGAGGCTATTCTTTTCATGAGTTCACTGTTTATTAATAATGTTTTCATAATGTTTTAATCATGCATTCAAAAATACACATACTCTGAAATATACCTAGTAAATCATGTGCACAATTTTTTTTTTTTTGCTACAGAAACTGCTTAGGATGCAAGGTGATTGAAAATTTTGGAAATATATACCACTATAAAGAATAAAAAGCCACAATGCTAAAATCCACATTTAGGAGAGGAACGTTATGACGACATTTCAGTTTGCTCTAGACCATAGTCAAGTCACAGCATGACCTGACATAAACATCATGTCATACCAAAGAAAAGTAGTACAAAGGGAACAAAGGGCCATACAAGATATTGCAAGAAATCCAAAATATTTCTATTCCTTTGTAAAATCCAAGCTAAGAACTACCTGTAGAATTGGACCAATATTGAGAGGAGACTCGTATACTGACGATGAACAGGAAATGAGTGAAATCCTAAAAGAACAATATGAGTCGGTGTTCAGCAATCCAATAAATGACAGCAAGGTAGAAAACGCAGAAATATTTTTCACTCCAGAAGAAGGCCGCGCAGACCAACTAACTGACATTAGTACAAATCCCATGGATTTCGAAAAAGAAATGGACAACATGCCCACTCACTCAGCATCTGGACCAGAATCATGGAATGCTCTATTTATAAAGAAGTGTAAAGTACCATTAGCATGAGCACTCATCATTCTTCAGAGAAAGAGCTTAGATCTAGGTGAAATACTGGAGGCCTTAAAGTGTGCAGACATAGCTCATTGCATAAGGGAGGTAGTAGAGCACTAGCTAAAAATTACAGACCAGTAACCCTAACTTCTCACATCATAAAAATATTCAAAAGAGTGATGAGACAGAAGTACAAATTTCATGAACCAGCACAACCAGCATAACCCAAACCAGCATGGTTTTAGAGCAGGATAAGCATGCTTGTCACAGCTGCTGAACCATTATGACAGAATTATGGAGGCATTGGAAGACGACCAAAACGCAGATGTGATTTACACAGATTTTGCAAAGGCGTTTGACAAATGAAATCATGAAGTGATAGCTCACAAAATTAGGGCCATGGGCATTACCAGGAAGGTAGGAAGGTGGATTTTCGGGTTCCTAACACACACAACACAAATAGTAGTAGTGAACAGGGCAAGATCCAGCATCAGCGAGGTCAAAAGCTCAGTGCCCCAAGGCACTGTCCTGGCACCTCTGCTGTTTCTCATTCTCATAGCAGATATAGATAAAAACACCTGGCACACTTTTGTATCATCATTTGCAGATGACACCAAAATAAGCATGAAAGTCACTACAGTACAGGACATTGAAAAATTACAAGAAGACATAAGCAGGGTTTTCCAGTGGGCAGTGGAGAACAACATGATGTTCAATGGTGATAATTTCCAGCTGTTTAGGTATGCAATGAATGAAGAACTCAAAAGGAACACTGTAAACAAAACTCAAGAGGGTCACCAAATAAAATGTAAGAAATATGTAAAAGACCTGGGAATAATTATGTCAGCAGACCTTTCTTTTAAAGACCATAACAAGACAAAGATCACGACAGCCAGGAAGATGACGGGGTGGATATTGAGAACTTTCAA